ACCACGCCCGGCTGATTTTTTATTTATTTATTGTAGACATGAGGTCTCGCTGCCCAGGCGGGTCTCGAACCCGCGGGCTCAGGCAATCCACTCACCTCAGGCTCTCAAAGGCGCGGGATTACAGGCTGAGCCACCGAGTCCGGCTATCACGTACATTTTAAAGAGGGGCTTTCCGTATTTAGGTGAATGAGACCTTGTTTAAAGCTACAGGATTCACCTTAAGCAAGTCGCTCCCCAGTCTGGATCCCAAACGTCTTCATCTGTAAAATAAGGGAAAAGGGTAGGGGTGTGTGCGTGTGTGTGTAGAGAAGACGGGACCGAATGCTCTTTCAAGCTCCCTCCAGTTCCAGGTCATTTCATAAGGATGCGTCCCCTTCCTCCATGCTGTTTTCCTCCAGGAGAAAAAGCTGGGAATTCTTTGTTTTATATTATTTTTTAAATCCACATTCATATCAACATAAATTCTTTGACTATAAAAATAAAGAGAGCCGACACAACCTTGCCCCAAGGATAAGGCTTCGAAACGGGAGTCAGAAACGCAGGCACCGAGCGCGTCCAGCACCTGCACCTCCAGCCCCGCCCCCTCGTCCTTCCCGGTCGGAGCCACGCCCAGGAACCAAGATGGCGACAGCGCGCCGGGTCTCGCCCGCGCCCCTCGTGACTCCGCAATGCGACAGCCCCGGCGAGGCCGCACCCCATTGGCCGGCTGCGATGAGGTCATTGTGAGGGCGGGGCCTGTGGCGGCGCGGGGGCGGGGCTCTGCGGACGCACGCACGTCGAGGCGCTGCTGCCCGGAGCCGCGGCGGCTGTGGGCTTGGCTGAGGTGGCTGCTGTGGTGGCGGCGGCGGCGGGAGGTGAGCGGGGGGCTGTAGGTACAGAGACAGGGAATGACCTTCGAGGGACGCAGGAAATCCTCCTAATAGCCTCCCTCGATTGTCAAAGGAATGAGCAGGGCTCTTAAAAATCCGGGAGAAAAATGGGGGTTCACCCCCTCCTAGGGCACCCCACTGGCCAGAGGAACCGGAGGCTCGCTGCCCCTTGGAGGCCCCGATTCCTTATTCCCATTTAAGGGACAATCTGAAGAACCGAAGGTTACTGGATTTATTTGGGGGCTAAAGGGGCTCTCAATTTGGGGATCCCCCTCTCTTCCCACCCCTGGAGGTAGATGTGCTGGGATCCCAGAGTGTCCCTGCTTCTCGCGGGGTGGACGGGAAATGAAGCAGGTGAATGCCTTATTAGGAGGCGAGGACTGGATGACAGTAGTGGGATTCCTCCAGGCAGGACGCGGGGGCGCTGTCTTTGGACTCATCTTTTGCAGAATGGCTGTTTCTTCGTGTTTTGTGACACTCACCCCCGCCCCCGAACTGCTTTGGCCTAGTTAGTTGTCTGTTTGGCCCCAGCGGTGTAGAGATATTCTAGGGAGACTTGTGATCGTTAAAGAACAAGAGGAGGCTGTCATGGTTGGCAGCCTCTGAACTGTGCTGAATAGGCATCATTTTATGTGTTTAGAGGTTGTGGGATCTTGTGGAAGGGTGGTGCCGGTAACAGCTGATTTGGATGATTCAGGGTTACAAAATCCTAAAGTCAGCCTACATAATCTCTTAAGAAATCCTTACCTATATCTGAGCGTGTTGTTTTGCTGCCTTGAACATCAAATGCATGTCGTTCAGATTTCTCAAAATGTCTCCCAGCCTTCCACAAGAATAAATGATCCTTTGGTATCAGACTCACCTATCAATACTGAATATGGATGCCCTTATGGCACTAAAAATCCTGTATGTTTTGCTGAGTTTAGAGACTGGACAGTCTGTGCCTTACATCAGCTGATTGAAGATAAATAATTGCAGTTTCAGGACCACTGATAGCGCCAATTGTCTCTCCTGCCCGGCAACAGTAAGACAGCCCTAAAACGAAACCTTTATTGGCTCATGCTCGAGGAGATTTGACAGATGGAAGAATGTAATTAGTCTTGAAGGTGGGGGATGAGATGCCGAAAGCTGCAGAGGTGGAAGGCTTATTGTCTGTGGCTTGATAAAACTGCTTTGTCATTAACAATGTGTTCCTGTCATGCTTCATTTGAAATTGAGCTTAATTTGCAAGCTGCTTCCTTTTTTTTCAGATGATGGTTATTTGTTTGGATTCCTTAAGGGGGGAATGGTGTTTTTGAGGAGTCTGGAGGGTTCAACCCTTTAATGTAGCCATGGCTTTAGGATAGTGCTGCAACTTGGGGCTGTTAAAATGGGCATTTCAACTGAAAGTAGGAAACTAGTCACAAGACAGACATTTTTTTTTTTTTTTTTTTGAGTTGGAGTCTCACTCGGTTGCCCAGATTGGAGTGCAGTGGCCGCTCCCGGCCACCGCAGCCTCACCTGCTGGGCTCCAGCGATCCTTCCGCTTCAGCCTTCCGAGTAGCCGGAATTACAAGCATGCGCTACCACGCCCAGCTGATTATTTAATTTTATTGTAGAGATGAGGTCTCGCTGCCCAGGTGGGTCTCGAACCCGCGGGCTCATGCAATCCACTCACCTCAGCCTCCCAAAGGCACGGGATTATAGGATGAGCCACCGAGTCCGGCTAAGACAGACATTTTTTATGGGAGGGTAACCAAGGTCTCTTCTGTTTGTTTTCTGCGCTAGCAAAAAAAAGTTGAGAAATGTGAATGTGAATGTCATTGCTTCATAATATTGTGTCAGGCCTATTTAAAGAGCTATTTGGGGTTCCCAGTTCCTGTCTTTAATCTGGATACATTCTTATGTATTGACTTGCCCAAAATATTGTCATTTGATCCTGATGTTGATGGCAAAGGAAGTGACTTTTCATCTGACACTCTGCTGGACAGGATTCAGTAACTACCTTTGCAATTCCTCCTTTCCGTTGTTCTCGGCAGGATGTCAAAACAGTTGTTACAGACCTGTCAGCATGGGGTGGAAGAAATGAAAATGCAAAATGAAAGAGGCTTACTGGATGTTACTTGCTTATATAGCCCTCTTGGTCATTTTCAAAGTCATGACATTTTCTCTTTTGCCTCAGGTTGGAGAGAATTTGGAGTACTTGTTGACTGGTACCTTCTGCCACCATGGGGGAGCTTTTCCGGAGTGAGGAGATGACACTGGCCCAGCTTTTCCTACAGTCAGAAGCTGCTTATTGTTGCGTCAGTGAATTAGGAGAACTCGGGAAGGTTCAGTTTCGTGATGTAAGTAGTTGTGAGCTGCTTCTTGTTCCTGCTGAACTCTGTTTTTCCTGTCATAGCCAATTGTCTTATGATGACTGTTTTGTTTTTTATTTGCAAAAATAACATTACAGCATGGGCTTTCTATTGGTAGAGTATACATTTTGAGTGTCTTTCTAGAGGTGAGAATGTTTTATGTCAGTCCTTCCATGCTTTTTCTAGTTTTCCCTTTGAGAACCATCCTAAGCATTGTCCAGGTAATTGCTTGGGATGCAGGGAGAGGATACTAGACTAACCCATGCAAGGCTTCCACTTTGCTTTGGGCTCTTTAATGCCCATCACAGGATAGTTTTAAAAATTTTGGGGGGCCGGGCACAGTGGCTCATGCCTGTGATCTACCACTTCGGGAGGCCGAGGTGTGAGGATCACTTGAGTCCAGGAGTTCGAGACCAGCATGGGAAACATATCAAGACCTCATCTTTACAAAAATTTAAAAATTAACCGGATGTGGTGGTCCCAGCTACTTGGGAGGCTGAAACAGAAGGATGGCCTGAGCCCAGGAAGTCGAGGCTGCAGTGAGCCATTATTGCACCACTGTACTCCAGACTGGATGACAGAGTGAGACTCCCAACTCAAAAAAAGAAAAAATTGTAGTTCTTCCTAACAATAGGCCTTTTTTTTGTTGTTGTTGTGGAGTCAGAGTCTCACTCTTGCCCAGGCTGGAGTGCAGTGGCACACTCAGCTACCACGCCCAGCTTATATTTTTTGATTTATTGTAGAGTGCAGTGGCACACTCACAGCCACTGCAACTTCAACCTCAGTCTTCCACGTAGCTGGAACTATAGGTGTGCACTACCATGCCCAGCTTATATTTTTTGATTTATTGTAAGTTGCCTCGAACCCCTGAACTCAGGCAATCCTCTTGCCTTGGCCTCCCAAAGTGCTGGGATTACAGACTTGAGCCACTGCGCCTGGCCTAAGGCCTTTTTTTAATAAACAAAATCTGAGGTATCAAGCTATAGGTATAAAGCATACCAGTCAGCAAAATATTCATTATTTATAGCATTGTGTCTGGCACTTGGAGAAGGTATCAAAATAAAATGGACAGTCTAAAAGTAAAACAGTGTGTACTATGGGACTTATAATCTGATCAGGAAGGCATGGTGTATGCTGCTAAAAGGAGGGGGCAGTTAACAATTCAGCAGTTCCTGACTCAGTCAGATCCTCCTCTTAGACTATCTGGAAACTTCATATGACTATCTTTCATAGCATTCATTGTGGTGGTGATTTTATCTTATTCTACCTTCATCATCAGTGTGAGTAGTTGATCAAAGTCTCTCTCTTCCACTGTAATCTAAGCACCTCATTTTCGTTTGCTTTTTATTGTATCCTTAGTGCCCACATACAAGTGGTACTCAGTATTTGTTGGAATGAATGGGTGAATGAAAGGAGAGTGGCTAGAAAAGAGCGGGATTAAACACTGTAGTCTTCCTGGAATTGGCAAGCTTTCAGGAAGTTCTCAGTCGGAACTGAAGTTACACAAGTGTAATCCAGTGACGTGGTTTTTTTGAGTCAGAGTCTCACTCTGTCACCCAGGCTGAAGTACAGTGGCATGCTCACAGCCACGGCAGCCTCAACCTGCTGGGCTCAGGCAATCCTTCCACCTCAGCCTTCCAAGTAGCCAGAACTACAGGCGTGCGCTACCATGCCTGGCTAATTTTTGATTTATTATAGGGATGAGGTCTTGCCAAGTTGCTCAGACTGGGCTCAAACCCGTGGGCTCAGGCATTCCTCTCACCTCGGCCTCCCAAAGTGCTGGGATTATAAGTGTGAGCCACTGGGCCCAGCCAGTGATGTGGTCTTATTCCTTGCTCTGTTTGTCTATTTTGTACCATTTCTCTCCAGCTTCCTCCCCCACAGATTCTTTTTTTTTCTAAAGACTCATCGTTGTCTCCCACTGACCCCTCTTGTGTCTTCCCCACCCCCGCTATGGGTGTCAGGGTTCCCCAGATTCTCTTCTTTGCTCTCTCTGAGAGCACTTCCCCATACCCACATCTTCCTGTACCACCCCTTTTGGGGATCTCGTCTACCTCAAATCTTTCTTTTTTTTTTTTTTTAAGTTGGAGTCTCACTGTCGCCCAGACTGGAGTGCAGGGGCC